CATCTTCAACTTGAGCTATTTGGACTATTGAAGATAAATTATTCATTAATTTGGCCTCCTCCTCCATTCTCTTTATTCTCTCAATTCCAGTCATTACATATGAGACTGATTGCCAAGTGGCTTAAATTTTCTTTAGTCAGTGGAATTGCAGTAAGCACTGGTCTCTTAGAGAAATGGCAGCCAAAAACGTCTTTGGACTATTTGGAATTTTGTTCAGTAAAACATACCGGGAAACCAGATAAAATGCCTGAGCCGTCTCAGCAAATTAAGCTATCTTCCATGAGTAGGAATTGTATGTTAACAGACTGTTAGAATTACGTCTTAAGTCCAGCATTTTCACCATATCTAGCAATTTAAAACACTCAGTGTGGGGGAAATAGTAGATAATAGGAAAGACAATGGAAATTTAGGCGTGCTGCGTGTGTGTCTGTGTGTGCAGAAAAGGAGGGAAAATGAAATCAGCATGCAAGTGCAAGGCTACATGGAAAGATGGAAGTCCTGGGCCTCTGAATCCAGAACTATGCACAGCACACTATGGGTGTGCTGGTTGTGAACGCTGTCCCAGTATAACAGTGCTGCCAGGGAAATCTCTCCACAGCTTCGATCTGATCTTCCACGCCCCGTCTTCAACCCAGCCATGCCTGCCTTTGGCCTGCAGGATAAAGTCCAAGGCCTCGGATGGCCTCCGAGTCCTCTACGTCTGGACTCTCCTCACTTCCCCAGGCCTGCCTCCTGCAGCTCCCACTCTCGCAGTCTAGGCTTTAGCCATTTTAAGTGACAGTTCTCCAACAGACTAATTTATTTCTGTCCTAAAAATTTTACCCATGTGCTGCTTCTGCGAGTGCCTGTCCTACCCCTAAACATGCGGCCCACTTAAGGAACTCCTATCCATCTTTCAAGATCCAGCTCTAGCCAGGAAAGACTTTGCAACTCTGTAGGCAGAGCTGGCCTTGTCTTCATTCACGTTCCCATGTGCCCTGTGTAGACACAGCACCTCTCACTGTCTTACAACATCTCTTTGCGTGTCTTTTCCATCAGATGGTGAGCTGTTTGCAGGGAGAGACTGTGACTGAGTTACCACTACACACCAGCACTAAGCACTGTGCTCAACTCAGAGAAATAAACACCCGATAATTGTTATTATGGGGTGCATTTTTTTTGCATGAACTAGCTCTTATTTCTGCTAAACATTGTAGAGTACCAGAGGTAGAGGTTGGAAAGGTCCTTTATAAGAGAGAAAAAAAAGAGGGACCCCTTCTTAGGGAAAAAAATGTGGCATCTTCAACAAACATTAACTGGAGAAAATATGTTTAAAAATTTATTAAGGTGCTTTCAAAGGGAACAAAGAGATGAGCAGAAAAGGAGTTTGGAAGGGAGGGTTTTGGGTATCAGAATTATCAGGGTGACAGATTTTTATGGTCTGTGGTGTGCCTTAAAATGTGCTTTTATTTTATTTACTTGAGAAACTAGCAGCCTGAAAAAGAAAGTTAGATGGGGCCAGGGAGAACTCCTATCTGCTGATTCATTCCACAGTAGTGGCGGTGGTGGTGGTGGAGTGGGCCATGCAAATGCTGGAAGCCAGGAACTTAATCCAGGTGCCAGGTACCCACTCACTGCAGCCATTGCTGCCTCCCCTCAGGGTGGGCAGTAGCCAGAGGCCAGCTTCAGCAGCTGCAGCTGGGTATCAAACTCAGGCACTCTGCTGTGGGACCTGGTATCTGAACTGCTGGGCCAAACAGCTGGCCCAGATCTTTAAAAGCAGGAGGAAAACAGTTCTTAGAAAATGGAATTCCAAGTTAAGTTTTGTGTTTTCTTTTTGGTGAAAAATTTTTTGAAATCCGTGAATTTGAGGGATTCCTAAAAAAGTGTACAGAAAGTGCCTATTATGAAAAAACTATGCATGGATTTCCAAATTTTGCACTGAAAGAAATTCCATCTTCTCAGAACTCACTGAAGTGCCCTCGCACGCTTCTTGACAGGAATGAAGGGATGGATTTGCAATGGAGGGCTGGACGGAGGCTTAGGATGAGGCGAGTTGGCTTTCAGGGGAACTGGGAATTAGGGAAAGCGTATGCCTGCTTATGGTTATTTCCATGCTAACCCCAGGCAAGTTAGAGCAAAGAAAATCCTGTGCATTCAAATCCCTTGTTCATTGATCTCCCCAATTTTTGCTTGCTATGGAAAATGCTGTCTTGGTGTGGGCTCCAACTCATATTCTAAAATCCTTAATTGCAGTGGTGTGTTTATTCAGTTCAGCCAGTACTCACCCAAAGTGCCAGCGCTCTTGGCACAAACACCTGACTTGAATCATGTTTTTCATACATCTGCTGAGTCTACTCACACGGAGCGGGTCAACCCTCCCCAGTTGTCATCAAACCCTCCTCAGAGCCCCCGTCTGCACTTGGCAGCCGCAAGGTGTATAAACACCGAGATTCTGGGCCAATCGCTTTAGTTGTGCCCCAAGCTGGGAGCTGATGGGATAGGAAGTAGACTAGAGGGGCCTTACTCCCTCCCAGCCCGCCCCTCTGTGGAAGCTACATTTGTTCCCTGCAGTGGTCTGGGAATGAGAAAGGCACCCCAAAGTCCTCCCACTATCCTTGGTCGATCACACAGGGACAGGGCTAGGGAAGCGGTTGGTCTATGATACCTCAGACTCTCCCGACAGGAAGAAAGAAGCCTCTTCCACGAAGATGACCTTGCCACCTTTGGTTGCCCGTGTTCCAAGGTGTCTCCTTCACAGCTGGACTTGCACAGTTCAGTCCTGGCCCACCCTCAGCTGTTCCTTGTTTGCATACGCAGGCCCAGGGTGCCACACGACAAGGCCAGGATTCTTTCCATCACTCTCTTCCCGTAGAAACGCCATTCTGTATTCTGAGACTAAACTGTACGTGGAAGATGGGTACTGTTTTGCAATTACGAGACCAGACGCCCCCACTTGCTAGCTGAGAACCCTTACGAGAGAGTCCCCGGGCTCCAGTTTCCCACTGTCTGCTGCGCAGACTGCAGAGAATTCAGAGCTACTGTATATGGGGTCCTCCCAAAAGGATCTTTGGCAATGTATGGCTGCCAGTGTAGCAGCTCTAGGGACAAAGAGAGAAGCCTTGGCCTACCAGGGCTATGTTGTTAAAGGAATGGATGATAACTTACCAGCGCGCACGCAGTCTCCCCATTCAGACCAGGGCCCAAATGGGGTATTCATCTTAAACAAGGAGAAGGGTCCTGGGCAAGCAAAAGCTTCCCACAGGGCAGGAGTCATGGGGGCAGTTAGGCATGAACGTGAAGCACTTTCTGGAACCTTGAAAACAACTTTCCAACCTTCTGTTGAATTCACAGTGTCGGGAATCCTGGGCTGGACGGAGGGACTTTCCCCTCAGGGGTCACGATTTTGAGTTCTGTTTACAATTCCTCTCTCCCGGTGGCCTGGACTGGTTGAACCAAGCCTGCAGATGGCTGGAGGAGACCCCACCCCTTAACAATGCCATTCTTGGGCAAGAGAGACTCCTGCAATAAAGTTCTTCTTTTTTTTTCCCCCTTTTTCTCAAGGGGGATAAAAATTAGCGCAATGATGTAACTGATAACAGAACGGCTAGTATCTCCTCCCATCTTTTCCAAGCTTCCTATCTTCATCTGTTCATGTGAAATTTAATACCTGAAGAGGACAGTGTTGGCTGCGGCTTGCTTAGGAAGTTAGGTTTTCCCCGAGTTTCTCCTAGGAATTCCCAGAGACGAGGAGTGCCTTTCTCCTGCCAATCCAGCGCTTTTCCAGAGGGCACTTGACTTTCCAGAAAAGCACCGTTAATAATAATAATAATGATAATGATAATAATAATATACTTTGTGTTTTAAGTGTTGAGGGGCTCCAGTCTCTACAGCCTTTGCTGGGGCAGAAATCAAAATCGAGAGAAGCCCCAAAGAGGGGCCCGGCTCCCAGAGGCGGGAGGGAGGATCCCTGGTCGCCAGGAATACCCCGGACTGCGCTGGAGGAGGGGCGGCTATGCCGGTGTGGGGCCTGCAGCAGCACCGACAGGCCCGCAAACGCATTCCTTCGGGGTTCAGGTTTTTCTCCCCTAAAAGGAGAGTCCTCACACTGGGGAGGCAGGCTCCCTTCACGTGGTGTGGATCCGAGTCCTTCGTCACCACTTCGGGGTCTTGTAGGGAGGGAGATGCGGAGGGCGCCTAGGGTTTCTGGCGAGGCCAGTTCAGACCCATTCCACCTTGAGGCCCAGCAGGGAGTGGTCACCACTACCTTCGGGGTCACCACGACCCTGGGAGGCCAGCCGCAGGTGGGCGAGCAGCCTGCCTCCTACCGAAAGGCGGAGCCCCTCCGGCGGGCGCGCCTCAGTCCCGCAGGAGGTCCCGGACGCGCTGGGAAAGCTTCTGTTCCTAGTGGGCGGCGACTGCAGGAGTCCAGGGGAACCCGCACCGCACCCACCGTGGACCGTAAGCGCCCTGCACCGCCGCCGGGTCACGCAGGCGCCATGGCCGCCGGGTCCTCGGCTGCCCGGCCTGCAGGCGCGCCCCACAGCCCTCCCAGGACGTGGCCACGCGCGCCCCGCGCCGGGCGCCCTCCTGCCGGGAGCTCGGGACTGGCCGCCACCGGCGCGGCCCCGGCCGGGGGCGGGGCTCGGGCCGGGGGCGGAGCCGGGCCGGCAGCCGGTGTCAGGTTGCTCCGGTAACGGTGACGTGCCGCGGCGTGGGCGGGGCCGGCACGCAGGTTGCATATTTTAGGAAGTGAGGAGGCGGCGCGGGCTTGAGCTGCGGCGGGGTCTGGGGCGCGGAGCAGCGGCGGGAGGAGGCGGACACGTGGCAGCAGCAGCGGTAGCAGCCCCAGCAGCAGCAGCGGCGGCGGCGGCGGCGTCGGCCCGAGCCGCCTGCCGCCCTCCCTCCCTCCCGCCCGGCGCAGCCCTAGCTCCCCGCGCTCGGCTCCCCCGGCCCCGCTCGCTCGCTCTTGGCCGGGAGCTGCTCTTTTCCTCTCCTCTCCGCTCCACCGCCACAGGACCCGGCGCCGGGCTCCGAGTACCGCCACCATGGGGAAGGGGGTGAGTGTCTGGCGAGCCCTGGCGGGAAGAGGAGGAAGTCGAGCGGGCGGGCGCGGGGCGGGTTGGCGGCGCGCTCGGCTTCAGAGACGACGCAGCCTGGAAATGGAGGGAGCGCGGGGACGCGGGGGGGACCGCAGCGCCGCGGGGCGGTGGGCTGCGGGCCGCGCGCCCAGGGCCCTCGGGGCGGCATCCCCGCGCCTGGCTGCCCTCGCTCCGCCCGCCCTCGCCGCCGTCTCGCCTTCCTTCTTCCCTCCGCCCTCCGTGCCCAAAGGAAAGGCGCGCTCCTCCCCTTCCCCTGGGGCGTTCCGCGGGCCCCCTCCCGGGCCGCTGCGGCCCGGCGCCGGCGGGGCAGCCTCGGGGTCGAGTCTCCTCCTGCCGGAGGCGCCGGGGCTTAGCCAGCTCCGCGCCGAGGCGGCCGCCCTCCCCCAAGGGGAAAAACTGGCTTCCCCTTACCGCGGAGCCGGTCGGGCGGGCTGGTGCCAGAACGGGTGTGTCCGCACCGCCCCAAGATGGCCTTTAAGGTATACTTTTGAGAGCGTTGGTGGCCGCTTTCCTCGGCAGGAGGCGCCGCCGGCCACTTGCGGTGGTCATCTCGCCGGCCTAAAGCCATTGGAAGGCCGAGAGGCTGCGCTGGCGAAGGGCTGGCCCGGCGGGCCGCGGGCGGCTGGGGGCACGCCTGGCCTGTTGCCAGTACCGCAGGCTAGGCTCGCCTGGGAGCCTCCCCGGAGGTGGCGAGGGGTCTGGGGGGCACAGGCGATGGAGGGCCCACGGGCGTGCGCTCCTGCGTTTTTGCCGCGCCAAGCCCTCGTTACCTTGGTCCCTGCAGAGGACCCCAAAGGGAGTCAAGGGTCGCTTGAGAAAAATGTCCCCCAAAGCAGCTCCGAAAGGGCTCATCAGTTCGTGGAATAAAAATCAACAGGGCAGGAGATACAGGTGGGAGAGAACCCTGCATTATCTCCAGGGCTTAGCGCGGTGCGGACACTCACTGGGGCTTTGCAGGTCCTTAGGCGCCTGGGTGGGGACATTGTGGAGGGGGTTAGGGGGAGGGCGCATTCTTGGGGGACTCTAAATGGATTTTGAAGGAGGGAACTGAAAGGCCTTGGGCTGGTGGGGAAAACAGCCGAGTGGGAATGCACAGTGTGTAGGCTTTAAAGCCCTAACGGCTGGCTCAGGTACAGCAGCATCCTACCCTGGAGCAGAGTACGGCCCCTCTGCTCCCCACCGGGAAGCTGGTGGATGGTGGCCTGGGCTTCAGCCACGCCTTGGAACTCCAGAGCACTCCCGCACTCCTTCTGATTCCTAAGCCGGGTCGGACTGATGTTCATGGGAGGTGAAGGCCGTTGATGTGTACCCAAGGCCTTAGGAAGGTGAGGTGACTCGCTCAAGGTCAAAAGCTTGGTCGGACTAGATGTGGCCGATTGCTGGAACAGCTTGTGGTCTCCAGAGCTGGAACATGCACTTGATTCCTTCAGGTTGCCTTAGATGCGGAAGTCTGCAGTTAATCCTCAGGTGGAATGGGAGTGTTTGTGATACTAAATTCAGAGGCTAGGCAGATGTTTGGGTAACTTAAGTCGTGCCCCTGTATCTAGATGTCTCTTAAAACTACCCAGGCACAGTAGTGGTGCCGTGATATTGCGGCTGAGTGGGCAGTGCAGGCTCGACCCCCCGCGCCCTAGGAATCCTAGCAGAAGGCCTAGTGGCTGCTGCACAGGAGATGGAGGCTGCTTGTCTGGTGTGTTGTTCTGTGTTGAGGGTACTCTGACACATCCCACAGTAGAAGTGTGTGTGTGTGTGTGTGTGTGTGTGTGTGTGTGTGTTGTCCCCAGTGACTTACTGTGACAGTCCAAGTGTTCAGAAATGCTGGGATTTTTCCACACGGGGATTAAAATGTGGGTGGGGTGGTGACTAAAGCCCTCCTGATAATTGGTTAACCAGGAAGCCTGTGCTGGCAGCTGATTTTTAAGGTCACTGTTAGTTTCTTCACCTCTTCTCAGTACTGTTTGGGGCCTAGTTTTTGATGACATTTCAGGTATATGACTTTAAAAGATCTAGTTCCCAAGCATTTGCTACAAAAATGAAAGAACTGCTGCTGCTGCTGCATCATTCCTGGATGAAATAGGATTTGCCCCCCCCCCCCTTTCTTACTGGGTTTTCTGCCAGAGATTTGGCTTAAATCCTCAGCTAGGTCTACCACCCACAACTGTTTAGCTCACCACGGTGCACACCAGAACTGTTTAGAAATGCTAGAAACTTTCTGTTTTGTCTAGTTTATAAAAGATGGAGGGAGAGGGGTCCCAGCAGGTCTTCATTGTAGTTCTGGATTTGGTTTGATTATTAACTTAGTTACCTAGAAAAGAAAGCAGAGCTTCTGGGTAGTGACTGTTCAAGGGGCCGGGAAGAAAAGCTCCAGATGAAGGTTGCCCCAGGGCCCCACGTGTCAGCAGAAATGCTGGTTGTAGGGTAACGTTATCAAGTGCCCTTTTGGAGCTCAGCTTGGAAGGGTGACTAAATACCCTCTGGCCGCTGTAAAGCTAGTACTTTAGACTCAGCCCATTGTAAGGCAGAGTGGAAGGTTGCCCAGGCCTGGCCGTGGTGGGCAGGAGTTCCAGAGTTCCCTGCCTCTTGGGTTCTTTCCGTACTCTCTCAGGAGGGTGTATCTCCTTTTGGTAACTTAGTGTTTGCTAACTTGTAGTGTTCTCTGCCGGTAAGTTTGTGACAGTGCAGTGACTCACCTGGGGGGTGGCAGAGTAGGAGGGGGGAGGCCACATCATAAACCCAAGAAGGAGAAGGGAGCTTGCCCCCCATGCCTCCCCACAGTCCCGGAAGGTGTTCATCCAGGTCACAAACTCCTGGGACTGTTATTCCTAAATCACGTTTAAAAATACAAAGCGAGTGCAGCCTATGAAACACAATAGACTTGGCACTCATCCATGCGCCATCCCAGTAACCTTCTAGATCCATTGTGTTCTGGATATTTTAGCAACAAATGAACAGATCCAGTGACTTTCTCTTCAAAGAAGGCTATGGTCTTTTAAATATATCTACATTGAAGAATGAAAGAGTGGAAAGCCATAAGTAATGCAGCTCTGAGAGATTTTGCCTGGGAAAGTAAGCAAAACAGTCTCTTCACTTAGAAGCAGGTTTTTTTTTTTTTTTAAAGGCCCTGAAGCTGTCTCACGTGGCCTGGGGGCAGGACATTCACCCTGAGGATCAAGTGCAGTAATCTATGTTCTGTTTATAGAGGGAGTGCAGTGGCAGCCTGAGTTGCAGCTTTTGTTAGTGCTTACCAAGTAATGGGAGCAGAGAAAAGATCAGATCTCTATAAACTAGATTTGCTGTTTTCCTTCCCCGCTGTGAACATGTTAAGGATTGGAAATAAAGGGAGATACTATGACTTGCTCTTCAAAGGAAGGTCAGTTGGAAGCGTCTATTGACATTCATGAGCTTTTAACTTTGCTCTGGGAGCAGGGCTCCAACTTAATAGCATCTACAGAGTCTTCTTGGACTTTTCAGTAAGGGGTTTTCTCTCGTGGTTGCGGATCGTATTTACTTTTTTTTTTTTAATCTTGCAAAAGTAAAATGGGCTTTTCAGCCTTACGTGCTAGGAGGGAGCCTGGCCATTTGTGCTGAGCTGCCTTCCTCGTAGCTGCCCAGGGCCATCCGCCAGCCCACGGGCCAGGAGCAGAAATGCGAGTGTCAGATCAGATGGGCTCACAAGTAATCGCACTGGCTGGGTTTGGACAGCAGAACACCGGGCAGAATGTTTGCCCAGCCCTGCCAGATCTGGCCGGTTCTGGATGATACTGAACAGCCGTGTCCGGTTAAGTGATAGTACAGCATGGAGAGAACTTTAAGATCCACCAGCTCCGTTTCAGACTCCACGTCCGTGAACTTTCTCACAATTGCTGTGAGCAGAGTGTGTGAGAGGGAGTGTGTTCTTTGGCTGGTGCTGGAGGGAGACTGGGCTGTGTGTGACGCAGCTCCTGAGCTGTGCTGAGGTCCCCGGTAGCGGGCCTCCCGATCACTTGACACTGATGCCACCAATGTAGGGGTGGCCGATTCTGCCCTGAGAAGACAGACTTCCCTCTGCGCCCTCCACTTTCTCTCTGCGTTGGTTTCATCTGGGTCCTGAGCCCGGGATTTGGGGGCAGTGAACGGCCTCCTCTAGCTCCTTTGTGACTCTACAATGCAGCGCATTTGGACATGATCTCTTTATCTGGTTTCATTCAAACTCTGTTTAGTAACAGCTATGAGGTACTCCCTCTCGGTAATCTGAAAAGTTGATTTCATGGTGGCTTATGCTTTGTCTTTGGAACTGCTAATCGGGGTAAGATTTTGTGGATCCAGGGGCTTGGTGTCAGTCACTGGCAGGTCAGCGCCCTGAGGCACTTTGGGTCCTGCTCTGTGCTGTTACCCTCCTCTGCCTGGCATCCCTTGTGCTTCAGGGGACACCCTGTGAATTGACTGGGTCCCCTGGGTCCCCTTGGATCAACTTGTGACAGTTGTTCACCGCATGTCTCTTGCAGTGTAGCACAGAGAAAGCCCCGACTCATAACCCCAGTGTCTAAGGTAGAGTGCCCCATTTTTGTGTATTAGTTTATTTTTATACCAACAGAGGCGAGGTACATTGTTTTAAGAGGAAGTAAATCTAAACAGCATTGATTCTTTTCACATCTTAGGAATTATTTTTTGAAAGATCATAGATGTATGCTTGACTGTTAGAGGTAAGAGGGCTAGCAGGTTCCTTGGGAATTGTGTGTGCGTGTGTTTTTGAAAGGCAGAGTTACAGAGAAAGAGGGATTCACTCCCTAAATGACCACAATGGTCAGTGCTGGGCCAGGCTGAGTCCAGGAGCTTCATCCAGGTCTCACGTGTGGGTAGCAGGTGCCCAAGTACTTGAGCCATCTTCTGATGCCTTCTCAGGCCCATTAGCAGGGAGCTGGATCTGAAGTGGGGCAGCCCCAGGACTCAAAGCAGCATCCATACGGATGCCAGCACTGCAGGCAGCGGCTTAACCCTCTAGGCCTCAAAGATGGCACAGGAATTTTTTACATGCAGCCCGACAGGGAGGAAGCTTAAATCCTGTTCACACTGGAATGCAGGAACCTATGTGCTGCAGCCCTAGCTGCTCTCTTTGGCCCCTGCTGGCTGATGGGTTGCAGCCCAAGTGTGGAGACACTGAACTGGGTGCACACAGGGACCTTCTGCTTTGACCTTGCTAGATTGTATTCTGTGGCCTGTTGAAGGAGAGAAGGAATCTAACGACATGGCGGCCCCCTGGTATGGTGAGGAGTCCCCACTGGGGCTGGAGAGCGGCCCACAGCACTGGCTGTCTCTTGGCCCTCAGTTACGCCTTGCACGTAAACTAAACTACTTAAGTTATTTGGGAGTGAATGGAATGGAATGGAATGGACTGGGCTTGATCCTCCTTGACTGCTATTTTTCTTTCATTTTAATTGACAAGATAAACTGAAGAAGTAGTCCAAAAGAGTTTTTCTTTGTAGGTTTAGCAGGTTTTTGGAAGTCAGTGTGAAATGTCAACCTCTGTCGCTGAGTGTCCCTGCACGCACAGTATGTTTGATGGTGACTTAACAGCAGCCTGTCCAGGACAGCTTGGAAGCCCCCTGCTGCTTTTATGTAAGGGGAGTGGCCAGACTAGGCTTGCTTCTAGGCAACCAGCAGGATCAGGGTCCAGCCCCCAGCTTCTCTGCCAGGCAGGATTTGCTAAAACCTCTTGGCCAACTTTGAAATGGGTTACATTTGGGGCAATTAACTTTTCCCTTTCTTTTCCGGGTTTTGAAAGCTGCAAGCCTCAAATGTTTTAGTTTCGGGTTTGATGGCAGTTTCTTGACTAATCAGACTATCAGATAGCCTTCTCTGGGTTCTTTGACAGTTATGCCAAGTGTCACTCTCAGTTTAGGGACCAGGAAACTGAGGCTACTGTCTAGGGTCACGTAGCTGGGATGTAGCAGCCCTTTGTGACTGCAGGCGGAAGTCAGCGTACCAGCCACAGAGCTGTCTGAGGCAAGTAGGAGTCTTGGGCTTCTAAGTACCCTCTAGCCTTTCCCAGGAGGAAGAACCCTGAGCTTCCTGCACTGGCCACAGGGCGCTGTTCCGATGCGGTGGAGACTGCCCGGGACATCCTAAGGCGCAGTGGAGAAACCCAAGGGCTGCCTAACGTGGGGGTGGTGTTGGGGAGTAGCTGCAGCTGATGCAGGCCTCAAGCTGTCTATCCGCGGGCCAGATGCGTCTTTCCTAAACTAAATTGTACTGGTTTTTGTGTGATGCCTACTTCTCTGTACCCACTATCTCTGACCCACCCACCCCCCTTTGAATTTCTGCTCTTCGGCCCTGACGGGTCCTGGGGACACCTGCCTTGTTGGGAGCATGGAGGAGGCGTTTCTGAAGCAGTGGGCAATGTTACAGCCTTGATGCCTCCTGCCTATGGCTCTCTCTCAGGCCCCAGATCAGATACTGGCAGAATGCATGGTGGATCCCAGTGGATGGGGGCGCTAAGAAGCCCAGGGTGTGGTAATGACACTGCCTCCCACTGTGTCACATTGGGCGAGCCGTGCCCTTGCCTGGACTTCCCAGTTCCTAAATTAGAATGGGGGGCGGAGGGAGCAGCCAGCTTGCTTCATTGCACAAGTGGCCCTTGTGAGAATGCTGTAACCTGTGGAGCGTTGTGCTGGCTTTCCTTGGAGACATCCCGAGGGGTCCCATCGCCAGGCCGCTGGTGGCAGTGGGGATGACTCAGGCCCACTCTTGTCTGGGCGTCAGCCAAGACTGCCCAGTTCTCTCAAAATCTGAAGGTGTAGGGGTCGGGTGCCCGGTGCCCAAGGTCGCTGGGGCTGAGCGAGGAAACACAACATTGATCATTCTTCTCGCCACAACTTTTTGTTTTTCAAGAAAATGTTGTTTTGGCCTTGTTTGACCCAGCACACGCACACACACACACACACGCTCACACACGCACACATGTGGCCTTTCCAGCTTGGAGGCCGCAGTCATTGAGACCTCTGGGCACCTCAGTGATACGTGGATCCTGCCGGGACAAGCTCGCATTAAACTATTGCTTTGCTGTGGGGAAGAACAGAACTGGGTAAGCTGCCTGGTTCCTGTGGACAGAGATTGCCTAGCAAAAACAAAGAATTAAAATGTTGAAGAACAAGCGGTGTCACGTGTTAGTACTTTCCATGTCGCTTTCACAAACAGCCTGATTTAGAGCGCACCTTCTGCAGCACTGGGTGGGTGAAGAGGGGGAGTATTATTGGGAAATTTACCATGGATAGCTGAGAAGCTGCAGGCAAGAGGCTTGTTTTGTAAATGGGGATAACGGTTTGGAACACGTCCAAGGCTGGCTGCTCCAATAAGGCTCTCTGTCTCTCTCTTGGGGAGTGGAAAATATTGGAAGTCTGGAAATGATCGAAGTGTGGGAACGGTGAGCCTGGGAGCTGCTTTAACTCTGCTTTTTGTCTATTTAAATGTTTGGGGATGGCACTCAGCCATTTATGGAGAATTAGTCGGCTGTATTTTACAAATCGGTGCGAGCTGACGGCGCCATTCACAGGGTCCGCCTGTCCATCTTTCCGGGGTGCCTGGGCGGTGTCTTCCAGTGGGGTGCTCCCCCATGAAATGTGTGAGGTACAGCTGTAGACAGCGGCTCTTCTTGGGGAGAAGCTCTTGCCTCTGCCTTTGGTTTTGTCTGTTTGCTGGCAGCGTGCGCCTTATTTTTTCATTTTAATTCTGGCACCAAGAGCGGTCCTCCGGCACTCACAAATGCGGTCGCCGCGCATGGAGAGGACTCTGGCTATCTTTAGACCTGCCTCAGCCCTAACAGACAAGCCAGAGACTCAGGTGCCCCTTGGAGGAGGTTCCCCTTCTGGTGACATGCCACACGCTGTGGCCGTGGGGCTGAGCCACGCCAGGAGTATTTCAGGTCCTAGCGAATAGGGTGCCTCCTTGCAGCTGTGTTGGAAGCAGGCACTTTCCTCCTTTCAGTCCAGCACAGTAAGCTTAGGGTCTGGGCACGTGAGTACCCAGTTGCCACTGTAGTAGCTGGTAGGCGACTTCTCCAAGTTGGAAACCAGCAGAGGAGGCCCCCAGAGTCATTGGGGCCGCACCACGGGGCATGTGTTTAGAAAAGAGTGCGCATGTGTCCCCTGTGAAGCCGCACGTGTGGCAGGTGGCCCGTGGGGAGCGGCGGGGGAGTGTGGGATGAGGGGCCTCCCGTGCTCTGGGCTGGGCTTTGGAGCACTGAGTTCAGGCTTTGTAGATAAGCTCTAGCACTTCTAGCAGGGTGGGGGAGTGGAACAATCTAAATTTAAACTGGAGATCAACATTTTCTCTCAAAATCGTTCCAGTTTTGAAGAGCCGTGGGTGGACCCTGTGAATTATGTGACAGCGCACACGCTTTTCCTACATCCTGCTTATGTCAAAACACTTCCAGTGGCTTTCACTTTGGGGGTTTTACTTGGCTGCAGAATGGGGTGGGGACTCCTTTTGTGTCTCTGGAAGACTCTCAGGGACTTCTAGGGGGTGAGGTTTCTCTTCATCCAGTTGTTTTTTCAGTAAGAGAAGATGAAAAGGCTGGTGTTCTCTTGTGAGCACCGAAGCTGTTTACATTTGATGTTTAATGTCTTCTTGCAATAGGAAGAGCCCTGACGAGATACGAAAGCCAGTGCTTAGATGTGCGATAGCATGAACCACCTCAGGGACGCTGCGTGCGGTTGGCACGGCGACCTGCCCCAGGATGCCCCGCTGGGGAGAGGCGGGGCCAGGACGGTAACTCCGGCCTCTGTGACTTGGAGTGCAGACGCATGGGTACCGTGCTGTCCTCCAAGTGAATAATGGGAAGAAGACAGCTTCGTGGCTATGGGGAAGGGGCTGCAGCACGGGGATTCTGGCGACCCGCTCTCCATTCGCCCCAAATGGAAGTGACTGGCAGGCTTTGGGGTGGGGGTGGTGTGGAGCAGACCGTGGCAGGGTGAGCACGTGGCTCTGGTGACGGAGTGAGTGTTCGGAGCTCGGCATCTCCCTGGATGTTCTTCCTGATGACCAGCCATCCTTAAAACCGCCGAGATCCTCTGCTCCACATCTCGGGTCGCTACTCACAACCACGCCTTTCCCATATTCCCCCGCAGGTTGGACGCGATAAATATGAACCTGCAGCCGTCTCCGAACATGGCGACAAAAAGGGCAAAAAGGCCAAGAAGGAGAGGGACATGGATGAACTGAAGAAAGAAGTTTCTATGGTAGGGACCAGCGGGAAGGTTGGATTTGACTCTGTGCCCGTCCCTACCCCCTCACCCCAGCCCGTCAGTGAGACGGCTACTTTATTTTAAGAGTAGCATTGTCCAGCTCTCACCCCACGGTACAGAGCACGGCTGAGAAGGTTTTGAAAGTTGTTTGACGGTTGATGAAATAATTGGGTCACTCTGGCATAAACCGGAGTCCGCAGCAGGACCCAGGGCTACTGCCCCGGCCCCTGGCTTCTCTCTGCATCAGGCAGTCCAGGCTCCCCCAGCTCTGGAAGCGCCCACACACTTCACCCACCTCTGATCTTCCTGGTCGCCAGGGAAGGCCAGGGAGGCTCTCAGTAGATCTGGGAGCTGCTGGGTTTGTCGGAAGTGACACGGCCGTCTGTCCCGCGAGGACCTGTCGGCCCACAGCCATGAGCTTGCTGTGAGCCATCGTGATCCTCACTTGTGCACTAAGGCAAGATGCATGTCTCATGGGCCCAGAGAGAGGAACGAGTGGTGTGGGTGCCTTCTCGGCCTTTGTGATGCGGCGTTGTTTCAGCCTTTGTTTCTGTTCTCTCCTAGGACGACCACAAACTAAGCCTTGATGAGCTGCATCGGAAATACGGGACAGACCTGAGCCGAGTACGTCCTCCTTTGCTTCCCAGCCTTCCCTGCGGATTTCCCGCCCTGCCGGTGGCAGCCACGATCCGTGGCTCTGCTGTGTGACACGCACAGGGCTTGGGCGCTCGCATGCTCCCATCTTGTTTTCCCGAGCCTTTCTGAGAGAGGTTGTTTTTCCTGTTTCCCGGTAGGTGAGAACCAGTTAAGTGGGAGCAGCAGGTTCTGCAGTTGGCTTCAGTGAAGCCGTGCTCATCCCCCGACCTCCTGATCGCAGATCTCCCCTTTGTTTTTCCTCCTGTGTTGTGCTGAGTCGGCAGTTCCAATTTTGAACTTTTCCCAGCTAGCTCACTGCACTGTGTCAGAACCTTGGTGGTCCCATCAGTGACTTGAAGCTTGGGTACAGAACCTTTCAGTCAGATATGTGCTGGGGGATTTTGATAGCGAGCTTGCTACAAACACTATAAAAGTGAGTCGTCTAGGGGGTAGCGTTTATTTTTAGATGGTCACTAAGAAGAGTCTGAGGAATGGTGAGGATGCCAAGCTAGTAAGCAGCCATTGTTCAGGAGGCGGTGGGGCGGAGTGCCGGCTTGGGTACCCTGGGCTCCGAGGGGAGGCCTCGGCACCCCTAGAACCGTGCGCTGGGAGCTGCTCCGCCCACCGTTCCTGGTGAGCTCTCGGCACGGCACGTGCGTCATCTCACGGAGGGGCTTGGGAGGTGCATGCCCAGAGACTCGGGTCAGCTGCTTGGCTGTTTCCATACTTGTAAAATGGGGCTGGTAATACCTGGAGAGGGGTGTCATGGAAGAAGCAGGTTGACGGAGGGACAGCACTGGGTTCCGCACCTGGCACATGGTCATGTCTGGGTCTGTTACGGTTCTGTTAACTCTGCTGAGGGCTGAGCTGGAGGCAGAGGGGGAGCTGAGAGAATTCTCTCCTTTCTGACTGGCCTCCCCACCTTCATTTCTGCTCTCCCCACACTCCCTGGCAGCTGCAGTATTAAAAAGAACACAATCACAAAATATATATGTAAGCACTTTTAGGCAAAAATATATTTTTATTTATTATTTGGTACTTGGGTAGTACAGAAAGAATCATATTTCCCCCTCTTTGCAGGAGCCAAATCTGTTGCTGTCGTGAGCCTGGGTTTTAGGGTCTGTTAGGAAACAGCAGGGTTTCAGCAGAGAGGGATTTTTCCCACAGACACTTTGCAGTTGACAGGTGAACTGGGGGTTGGCTAACATTGGCGTGGGTACCAACCCTTTCCTGCTCACCAGTGTTTTAATTGCTACCCAAAGAATAAGGTCCTATACTTAAAACGTGGCTGCTGGCCCAATGGGAGGTTGGATTCCTACGGAACTTTTTTTTCTTCTCATGTCTGTAGAGGGTTTTTCCCAACCTCCCTGACAAAAATCAATGCACAGGAAATGCAAAGCTCTTCATTTACAAAACTGAAATCAATCTCAATCGGTTAATAGGCTTTTGTTGTTGATTAAAAATGCAATTTGGCACGAATCCCCTGATCTGAAACCTGGGGGCAGGGGGGGGGTATACGCGGCTGGATTCAAATTTGTCTGCGGATGAATTCAGGAAGAGTTTTGATGTGGGTGTCAGCATCACAGGCCGGGTGTTGCCCAGCACTCTGGGTTAGGAAATTGTTCTCCCCCGAGTCGGGTGTCCTAGCTGTCCAGCGAGGGCACCACTGGCGTGTGCTGGTGCACACTGTCTAATTTACATCCCCTCTGCTTCTCAGGGCTTGACAACTGCTCGAGCTGCTGAGATCCTGGCCCGAGACGGCCCCAACGCCCTCACTCCCCCTCCCACCACTCCTGAATGGGTCAAGTTCTGTCGGCAGCTGTTCGGGGGCTTCTCCATGCTGCTGTGGATCGGAGCGATTCTCTGCTTCCTGGCTTATGGCATCCTAGCTGCTACGGAAGAGGATTTTGACAATGATAATGTGAGTTCCTCAGTTCCACGCGGGGCTTAGTCAGCACCCCTAGGGCATCCTCTTGGCCGTTTGCTGTCCACTTAACTTTCCTTCACCACTAGCTACTTCGGGATTTTTAACACTGGCAAGCACTGTGCAGCAGGTGGCTTCCAGGCCCAGCCCTCCTCCTGCACTGCAGGTCTGTCTGCCCTGCACACACCGTGGGTGCACCTGCAGGCCAGACGTGCCCAGGTGGCTTTGCCCAGCCCCTGGCCCAGGGCTGGCTGCCCCACCAGGGAGGGCAGAACACAGCATGCAATGTCAGACCTGATGGGCTTGGTAGCCTTTCTTCAGACAGTTGCAAATTGTTTGGAAAATGTCTTTTTAATTGAGTAGGGGAAGTGGATTCATCTAGTGCAGGGGCTGGGGACATACAGCCCACAGGCCATCTGAAGACCGGGCAGTCAGTTGTCTGGCCTTGCCAAGGCAGCTGTAGGTGGGACTTGAAACTCGATAAGTCCATAGTTTTTAAGTTGACCATTTTGTGTGGCCAGAGAGCAATATTATAAATACCTACATAGCCCTAAAAAAAAAGAAAAAGTCTTACCAAGTTTAGTGGCCAAATGTCTGGGGGATTGAGTCCATTTCTGACCCCCCCGCACACACACACACACACACAAGGGCCCTAGAAAGATCCCCGTGAAGATGGCTTCTGATGACTTCATCGCTCCTTAAAAGTCTGCTTTGATTCAGTCAAAAATTCACTGGATGTTCCCAGTTCTTCCCGAGCCGGCCAGCCTGAACTTTGCGTCTTCTCTCGCAGCTGTACCTTGGCGTGGTGCTGGCCGCGGTCGTGATCATCACTGGCTGCTTCTCCTACTATCAGGAAGCGAAAAGCTCAAAGATCATGGAGTCCTTCAAAAACATGGTCCCTCAGGTACCTGGAGTTTGTCCTGCCCCCACGGGGTGGCCCCAGGGGTCAGCCAGTGTGCCATGCCGTTAGCACACTGAGAGCTTGAGCCACCTCCTGGAACGTGTGTGGATCAAGTTTGTAATTCAGATGATTGGTGTTACAGATCATTTGTCACCGGATGGCTTTCTTGTTAGGGCACCATCCTCTCCTTGTTGATGTCTTTTTTTTTTTCTGATCTAACATTGTAAACATTATTTTATTTGCCTTCCAAAGCAAGCCCTGGTGATTCGAAATGGTGAGAAGATGAGCATAAATGCGGAGGATGTGGTGGTCGGGGACCTGGTGGAAGTGAAGGGGGGAGACCGCATCCCTGCTGACCTCAGAATCATATCGGCGAACGGCTGCAAGGTAGCCCTGGGATGGGTGCGGTAGAGGCACGCAGCAGCCTGTGGTGAGGCCGCGGGATTCGCACAGCACCTGTTTTTCTCTCCTCTAGGTGGATAACTCCTCACTCACTGGTGAATCAGAACCCCAGACCAGGTCTCCGGATTTTACAAATGAAAACCCGCTGGAGACGAGGAACATCGCCTTCTTTTCCACCAACTGCGTTGAAGGTACTGTGTGTCCGGTGTGGCCTGGTGGTCACCCTGGGCATCAGTAGCATCTTGAAACCTCCTCTGGCTCCTTTCCTGACAGCCCCCAGCAAGCGCAGGGCAGAGGGGGTTCACCTGCGGCAGGGAGACCTGGGAAGCCTCGTGGCTGCTTTTTCTCTTCCCTGCACTGAACTAGGGTGGATCCCGAAGCCGCTGGCCTGCCACTGGATAAAAATCTCTTTGCAAAAGTGTGCGTGGTTTAAAACAAACACATACACACCCAGAGAGCTGGCCCTCAGACACGTGTGGTTTTGTCTGTTTTTTTAAACCGTGCTGTGTAACTGCAGATCTGTGGCTGCTGTCCAGGTAACTGCACGTTGGTACAACACCTTCTCCCGTTCTGTTTTTAAGGCACTGCACGTGGCATCGTTATATACACTGGGGACCGCACAGTGATGGGAAGAATCGCCACGCTTGCTTCTGGGCTAGAAGGGGGCCAGACACCCATTGCTGCTGAAATTGAACATTTTATCCACATTATCACGGGTGTGGCTGTGTTCCTGGGTGTGTCTTTCTTCATCCTTTCTCTGATCCTTGAATATACCTGGCTTGAAGCTGTCATCTTCCTCATTGGCATCATCGTAGCCAACGTGCCAGAAGGTCTGCTGGCCACTGTCACGGTAAGAGGCGTGGAGATGGCAGCCACTGTCACTTAGATCAGCAGTTACGTTTCGATAGTGAGAAAACCTCACATGTATTCACCTAGAAACCTAAAAGCATGCATTTTGTTCTTGTCACATAATGCAGAACAGTTTAATAAAGAAAGGAGAATTTGGGGGTTCGTGGGGGAAGTGGAGTGTGTGGTGAGTCCTGGCTATTACTGTTTATCCTGCTGGGCTGTCACACACCTCTGGGAAGGAGTGGCTTCACAATCATGTCGCTGTTGCTACTACTTCATAAGCAGATTGGAGAGACTGCATTCTGGACACCTGTGTACCTAACCGTGATAGGCTGTAGAGGAGTAGGGATAGAATCCCAAGCTAGTTCAATGATCTTGTCTTTTTTTTTAGGTGTGTCTGACACTTACTGCAAAACGCATGGCAAGGAAAAATTGCTTGGTGAAGAACTTGGAAGCCGTGGAGACCTTGGGGTCCACATCCACCATCTGCTCAGATAAAACTGGAACTCTGACTCAGAACCGGATGACAGTGGCCCACATGTGGTTTGACAATCAGATCCACGAAGCTGACACGACAGAGAACCAGAGTGGTAAGGCTGCCTCGTGTTTTAGCCATGGGCACCTTGCTGCTGCTGCTGCCTGCTTTGTTTTTTTTTGTTTTTTTTTGTTTGTTTGTTTTGTTTTTTTAAGATTTTAATTTATTTGAAAGAGCTACAGAAAGAGAAGAGACAAAGAGGAAGAGATAGAGAAATCTTCCATCTGCTGGTTCACTCCCCTTAAATGGCCTCAATGGCCAGGGCTCATGCAAAGCCGGGAGCCAGGAGCTTCTTCTAGGTCTCCCACATGGGTTCAGGGGCCCAAGTGCTTGAGCTATCTTCTTCTGCTTTCCCAGGTGCATTAACAGGGAGCTGGATCAGAAGAGAAGCAGCTTGGGCTTGAACCAGCACCCATGTGGGATGCTGATTTTGCAGACACTGGCTTTAACTGCTGTGTTGCAGTTGATTTCTCATTCCACCACACTGCTGGTCCACTTTTTTTTTAATCACATGCATTTTTCTTAAGCTTATGGTAGTTTTTTAATTTTTTTTAAATTTCTGTCATTTGGTGAGGAGTCAAGGGTATGGGTTTTAGATCTTTTTTACTTGTCAATAGAAAACTTAATTTGCTTCACACTAAAAATGCCTAAAGCCTGCTTAGTTTCATTGACTGGCAGGTGAGATGCAGCATTTCCGATACGCTTGAGTCTTCGGCAGGTGAACTGAGAACGTGTCTTCTTCCCTCCATCAGGTGTCTCATTCGACAAAACGTCAGCCACCTGGCTCGCCTTGTCCAGAATCGCAGGCCTCTGTAACAGGGCGGTATTTCAGGCCAACCAGGAAAACCTGCCTATTCTTAAGGTACGCTCAGGACTTGCTCTGGTAGCCATTAGATTGCCTTCAGGGGTAGGATGTCCCAGGCACTGACTGCTGTCCGAGTGCTCTGTTTAAACAGCATGTGGCCTCTATGGCCTGTAGAACCTATGCAGTGGCTGTGTGGTGGGCCCTGAATCACTCACAGTACCCGTGGTCTGTACAGGCGGGGAGATAGAGTGGAAATCCCACAGGCAGTATGTCCTGCTGTCAGCCAGTTTCCCTGTTCTGAGTTTATATGCTCTTGCCTAAGTTAGCAAACGGTGAAGACTCCTTTAGTAAACCGGTCGTGGTGTTTAATGAGGATGCGGCCGTTTCCACTAAGCCCTGTAAGCCATCTATTTTCTTAAAATAGCTGCTTCTGTTGTTTGTTCTCCGCTTGTGTACTGAGGCTGAAACCCAGGCGCAGCCCCGTGGGCTTCTCAGGCAGTTTGGGGTGACTGGGGTCTCACCGTGCTGCCCCCGTGAAGGCACCGTCCCAGACACAAAGTCCTTTAGGAGGGCAAGGAGCTGCGGGGGGCTTCATGGGCCCAGCACAACCTCCGTGAAGCTGCCATGGCAGCTTCCCATTCTGGGTATAAACCTGATGGCCCAAAGAGGTGGAGGTGGCTTCTGGATAAAGGTGGCGTTCTTTAAAGGAGATACTCCTGACGTGCCGCTGATACTGATTTGAGGGCAGCGTTGTGCATCTGCGTGGATGTTTTCTAGGCCCTGAGCGTCGGGACTCATGAGTAGCAAACCTTCAGTGATTCAGAAGCCCCAGAGAGCCAGCAGCTGATGTAATCTCAGTATTTCAGGAGTTGGCCATGTCTGATTTCTACTTTGGGGCTTTTTAACCAAACCTGGCTACCGTTCTTTCTGCTCTCCTTGTGAGCATTCATGTGCTCGTCTGCACATCCAGCCTCGCTTGTCAGGGCTCTAAAGCGTTTGCCGTGTGAAAGTCCATGCAACTGGAAATGTGTTCACTGTGTCACTCAGGCTTAGCAGGCTGAATGTAAGTGTGGGTAGCTCCAGTGTAGACTTTAACTAAGATGCTAGCTGATGATGTTGCTGCTGGGATTAATGATAGCTTTCGCTTTGCATCCTTTGGGCCCAGTTAATTCGGGCAAATGAGCTGTGTTGAGAATACAAAGTCCTCTATTTTGCCCTAGACACAGTTTGCTCCCAGTCCTGAGACCCTAAGGCATTTTCTTCTAAATTCCAGGGCAACGAAGTGAGCTATAAATGTTTGCTTTCTCACTTGGTGTTTTCAGACTCATAACCAGAAATAGGTAGTTGGGGTTAGTGTTGGTTTTAAGACTTTTTTTCCTAAGAGGCCAGAGGAAGGTAAAAATAGGTTGAGGTGGGTTGAAGGTGTGGCAGGCTTCTCCGGGGGCAGGTGGCATCTTCCCGCACCCTTTCACCAGAGGCTGACTTGGGGTGGGGAAAGAGTGCTTGGTGGGCTTCTGTCCCTCCCAGCAGCACCGCTTCCTCTCTCCTTGGGCGTTGTTTGATGCCTGTGGAGCTTTTCCGGGTCGTTGACGGCTGCCGTGTCTGTCTGTCCGCAGCGGGCTGTTGCAGGGGACGCCTCCGAGTCGGCACTCCTGAAATGCATCGAGCTGTGCTGCGGTTCCGTGAAGGAGATGAGGGAGAGATACACCAAAATCGTCGAGATACCCTTCAACTCCACCAACAAGTACCAGGTCTGGAGGGCTCGGGGCTCGTGTGGTGGCTGCAGGTGCACAAGCCAGGAGAAGCAGTCTCCTACCTACTGGAGTTTTGCAGGGTTTAACTTTAAATTTGACCCTTGACTTGTATATGGAAAATCTTAATTTATTTGAATATCAGTAGCTGGCATAAATGAATGCTCTTCCAGACCATTGTTTGGGCTGTATCGGAATTTTTACTTAGGATCCGGTGTGGGGGGGTGGGTTTGGGGGGAGAGGCTAGGAGTGTGGGCGTGACAATCATTTTGTATGCAAGTTTGTTTGTTTGTTTGTTTAAGATTTATTTATTTATTTGAAAGGCAGAGAGACAGAGGCAGGGAGAGAGAGATCTTCCATCCACTGGCTCACTTCCCCAAATGGCTGCAACAGCCAGAACTGGGCTTATCCAAAGCCAGGAGCCAGGAGCTTCTTCCAGGTCCCTCACACGGGTGCAGGGGCCCAAGGACTTGGGCCATCTTCTTCTACTGCTTTCTCAGGCCTTAGCAGAGAGCTGGATCAGAAATGGAGCAGCCAGGACTTGAACTGGCGCCCTTATGGGATGCACGCACTGCAGGCGGCAGCTTTACCTGCTACACCACAGCGCCAGCCCCTAAAATTTGCTGGAGAGAGGTTTTCTATGAGGACATGTGTCAGGAACTTATGTATATAGCATGATGCCCATTGACTCTGCAGTGGCCAAGGTGTGCTGCTGTCATTCAGAGTTCAGAAGGAAAGAATAATAGCGTTGGTTGTTTCGGTTTGGTTTGGTTTTGAAAAAAAAGCAATCCTAAACAGTAGGTGGAGCTTTGTTTTCCTCCCTGGACTGCCGTATTCAGCCATCTAACGTGTGCATCTGAATCACCTTTCCCAGCTGTCCATTCATAAGAACCTCAACGCCAATGAGCCACGGCACCTGCTAGTGATGAAGGGCGCTCCAGAAAGGATCCTGGACCGGTGCAGCTCTATCCTCTTGCACGGCAAGGAGCAGCCCCTGGACGAGGAGCTGAAGGACGCCTTTCAGAACGCCTACCTGGAGCTGGGGGGCCTCGGCGAGCGAGTGCTAGGTACGCAGACACACCTGCTGATGCGCCCATGGCTGCCGTCCCAGGACACGGAAGGGACGTCTCCAGGATCTTGACTCCGGGCTTCATTGTGATCCTGGATGATAAACCTTGGGCTCAGAAGGTGTCTGCTCCTTACTCAGCCTCGGGGTGTCCAGCGTGGACCCTGCACACTGGTGCTTGGGGCTGTATTTCAATTAAGTGAACAAGTAAGCAGAGAAGTGGCCCTGGGGTAGCAGAAACAGGTAATTATAAGGTTTGCCAGACCTAAACACCCTATCATCAGGGAGTGGCTCTGAAGCCTAGTTATCAGTGCTGTCCATTCAGTCTTCTCCATGTTAAACAGTTCCCAGTTCTTTGAGGTTTGGTAATGGAATCTGACTTTCAGATGTTTGGCTCTTTTCTCAGACTCTGTATCATTCATGGATATGAAACAAAACACTCATTGATTGTAAAACTAGACTTTGGGGGCCAGCGTGCTGGGGCAGAGGTTCAAGCCTCTGCCTGAGATGCTGACATCCCCTGTGAGCGCCAGTTTGAGTACCGGCTGCTTCACTGCTGACCCAGCTCCCGGTTAATCTATGTGGGAAAGCAGCAACAGATGGATCCCTGCCACCCACATGGAAAACGTGGATGGAGTTCCAGGCTCTTGGCTTCCACCTGCCTCAGCCCGGGTCGCTGTGGTCATCTGGGGAGTGAAGCAGTGGCATCCCGGAACGGGCAGATGTGGGCAGCCGGCTGCTACCAGCCTCATACCTCCTGCAGTGTAGACACGCTCACAGGCCCCTGCTCTCTCGCAGGGTTCTGCCACCTTCTTCTGCCAGACGAACAGTTCCCTGAAGGATTCCAGTTTGACACCGATGAAGTGAACTTCCCTGTCGATAACCTCTGCTTTATCGGGCTCATCTCCATGATCGACCCTCCACGGGCGGCCGTCCCCGATGCCGTGGGCAAGTGCCGCAGTGCTGGAATTAAGGTAGCACCCGCCGGGGACGCCTGCTCTTTTCTCCCCTGGAGGGCTAACTTCTCTTCTCCAGAGCCTTGGGTTGTACGAGAGAAACCAAATAGTACTAAAATGCGGGTCTGAACAGCAGATGAGGGATTAGAGAAAACCCACGTTCCTAAAGAGGAAATGCAGGCGAAGGGAATAGAGCAAAGGCTTGGAGTACAACCGGGACTGCTCCGTTACTGAGCTGCTACCCTGCGCGCCGATGGCGTCTGCTCAGGTCTCGGTGGAGCTGATGGTCCGTGGGTGTCTGGTGTGCTCTGACTTCTTTTTCGAGTAGCTGACTGTGACTCAGGTGTCCTGCCAGCTCCCTGTTGGATGTTTGTGTCCCCAGGCTTTCATACTCAGGAGTCATACTGCCCTGAAAGGCTTCGTAGAAATGATTTCCCTACCGTTGCACTGTTTCTTTGAGACTGTCTTCTTCCAAGTATAAGCACTGGATCGATAACAAGTTTGAATTCTTGTTACCTCCTGCTCTCCTCCCCGCCCTCTGCCTCAAATTGGGTCGATTTGAGAATGCTGACTAGTGATACGTGGCCCCTTGGAGGCCCACTAGTGTCCGTCTTCCCTTTTTGCTGGTTTTAGAGGTTGAGTATTTTTATGTGGCTGTGTAAAAGGGGAAGCAGATAGGTTGTGCGCTCACGCACCAAGTCTTTGGCTGGATGTTTGCTTTCTGTGAATGCGATGCTTGTGTTTTGACTCGCTGATGTTGATCGGTTTTATGTTTGCAGTCTTTGCCTTTGGATACTCGGCTGAATCTCCTGCCGCTCATTCCTGCCCACCTGCAAATAAGACTTTTTACACTGTCCTGTCTCCTACCGCAGGTCATCATGGTCACGGGAGACCATCCCATCACAGCCAAAGCCATCGCCAAAGGTGTGGGCATCATCTCTGAAGGCAATGAGACCGTAGAAGACATTGCTGCCCGCCTCAACATCCCAGTGAGCCAGGTGAACCCCAGGTAAGGCGGGGAGCCCGAGGCACAGCCTGCCGTGGACGTGCAGGCAGGCGTAGTCTGAGATCTGTGCCCTGGTTCCGTACTGGTTTGCTGGCAGGCTTGTCTGAGTAGGGAATGTGCCTGCGCTCAGAGAGCAACTTTGCAGACCCTAGGGAGAGCTTCAGTCCGAGCAGGTCATAGTGAGTGACACCTGAAGGGTGTGCCGTGCCCAGAGGGCCTTTAAGAATAGATGTTTCAGGGCTCCACCACACTGAGTAGGGAGGCTGAGGCCTGGGGAGCTTCAAAGTGCAGAACTGGCCAAGGCATGCAATGAATTGGGCAATTGCTTCCAGTGTCACGCTACACTGAGCTCTGCTGCCTGTCACCCAGCACCTGTTCAGTTTCTATGTCCGTGCTAAAAATGTTGAAGGGACAATAGCCAAGGTAATTCAGGCCACCAAAGGGGGAGAAAATTGGTGATAGAGTACAATAACAGCGACAGACTTTCTTTGTTTTTCTAAGATTTAGTGCCCCTCACCCTGCTTTGGGGTCAGGAAAAGGGGTGTGGCCTTGCACAGCTCTGCCGCTTTCTAAGTCGTGGTCATGTTCCTTCTGCGTGTTCTACCATGGCGGGGAGGGGAGACAAGGTGGCCACACAGCTGGCCGTGAGCCTTGCGCGAGATCGTGGACGTGCAGATGCTGTGGCCTGGGAGGTGCTACCCGAGGGTGGCCTGTGGGACATGAAGAGGTCCCTGCACCCTCGCTCTGCTTGGAAATCCTCCTGGGTCCCTCGTGTGGCGGTGGACGGGGCCCTGAGGGCGCGAGGGGTGACCTGTGTCCGTCGCCCTGGTTGCAGAGACGCCAAGGCCTGCGTCGTGCATGGCAGTGACCTGAAGGACATGACTTCCGAGCAGCTGGATGACATCCTGAAGTACCACACGGAGATCGTGTTCGCCAGGACCTCCCCGCAGCAGAAGCTCATCATCGTGGAAGGCTGCCAGCGGCAGGTCAGCCGCTGCCAGGGACACGGCACAGCGCGGACACCCAGCCAGCTGTGCCTCCCACCCTGCGTGCATGGCCCGCTCGGCGGGGCTGTGCTGTGACACAGCCCACAGCGCTGCACGGCGGTGTGGGGCCTCACGTCCGTGGTGCAGATGGGAGTGGCCGCAGGCCCTTGGCCCCTGCCTTGAAAAGATGGGGGACAAGCGTGTCGGGGAGGAAGGGATTTTCTGCAGGCCCGGCCACCCACGTCATTGCGCTGAGCAGCCCTGGTTAACGTGGAGGCCAGGATATGCGTTGTCCCTTCCGGTTGTCAGCCGGTGGCGGCCTGCTCCCGGCTGCTTTCCCACCACCTCCGCTTTGCCGGCAGGGCGCTATCGTGGCTGTCACCGGCGACGGTGTCAATGACTCTCCTGCTCTGAAGAAGGCAGACATCGGCGTGGCCATGGGCATCGCGGGCTCCGACGTGTCCAAGCAAGCAGCGGACATGATCCTCCTGGATGATAACTTCGCTTCCATTGTGACTGGCGTGGAGGAAGGTGGGGCCCTGCCCAACTGCATCCATCCTGTGCTTAGTGGACAGGCTTGCTTTCTGCCCTGCCTGCCTCTTAAAGCCACACAGCAAAGAGAAAATGACTAATCCTACTTCCCTAGGTCGTCTGATCTTTGATAACTTGAAGAAATCCATCGCCTACACCCTGACCAGTAACATTCCAGAGATCACCCCCTTCCTGATATTTATCATTGCAAACATTCCACTGCCACTGGGGACCGTCACCATCTTGTGCATTGACCTGGGCACTGACATGGTGAGTGAGGTCCCACGTCCACACCCCCAGCATGAAGTGGTGAGGTCATTCTTGGGTAGCACCTGCAAAATCTCAGGGGACAAAACACAGATCTTGAGGGCAGGCCTGAATCTATTAACAGCTGCTTCTACTTTGAGCGTCCTTTTTTTGACAGGCAGAGTTAGTGAGAGAGAGAGACAGAGAGAAAGGTCTTCCTTCCTTTGGTTCACCCCTTAAATGGCTGCTACGGCCAACGCGCTGTGGCCGGCGCTGCACTGGTCCGAAGCCAGGAGCCAGGTGCTGCTTCCTCCTGGTCTCCCTTGTGGGTGCAGGGCCCAAGCACTGGGGCCATCCTCCACTGCCTTCCTGGGCCACAGCAGAGAGCTGGCCTGGAAGAGGAGCAGCCGGGACAGAATCCAGTGCCCCAACCGGGACTAGAACCCGGGGTGCCAGCGCCATAGGTGGAGGATTAGCCAAGTGAGCCGCGGCGCAGGCCAAGCGTCCTTGTTTTTGATGCCTTGAAATCCCTTGTGCCTCTCGCCCAGGTTCCTGCCATCTCCCTGGCTTATGAGCAAGCTGAGAGCGACATCATGAAGAGGCAGCCCAGAAATCCCAAAACGGACAAGCTGGTGAACGAGCGGCTGATCAGCATGGCCTACGGACAGATTGGTGAGCCACGGCGCTGGGCGGGGACGTGCGGGGTGGGGAGCTGGGGATGCCCGCATGTCCATTGGGATGCCATCTGCCCCCCGCCCACGCTGGTTTCTAAGGTGACACGTCCAGGGTGACTTTCAGACCCAGGATGAACCATCGCATAGGGTGAGAGACGACAGCGGTTTTGTTTTTTTGTTTTTTTCCAGAATTCTCTTCCGGGGTGACGAGATCTTGCAGCCTGCCCAGTTCCTTTTTTCAGCCAAAACTGTAGTCCTTTAGATGACCAAGCAGCCCTGTAGCAGGGTTCAGCTCCTCCCCGAGAACCAAATATGTCCCTCCCCTTAAGCCTCGCAGGCACCAGGCACCAGGCTGCAGAACTGGCCCAATGCTGTTCTCCCTGGGTCTGACGCGGAGGCCAAGTTAGGCTTGGCCATCACTGCACAGCAGTGCCTGGGCCCCAGCTCCTACGTCCTGCTTGGTTTCTGCTCTGCCAATGGAGCCTGGCCAGCCAGCAGGCAGTCCCGGCAGTAGGCAGTCCACACGGCCTCCCTTTCAAATCCTCAGCCTGGTCTCTTTGAAGGGAAGCTGGAGGAGCCACCGTGTGTACAGCTTGACTTCTGGGCTAATGGGCTGCGTCTTTGTGGACACCGGGGTAAACGAAGGAAAACAGATTCGTTCTCATGGCAGCTGGCGCAGAGACTCATTCTCCAGTTGCCCTTCCTGACCTCCAGGAGGTCCTGATTTAGAGAGGGAGGAGGACCAGACATTGCCACCCTAAGGAACCTGAGGTGGTGGTGTGGCTGGGCTGGTTACCACGGGGAAGGGGCGGGTCAGAAGTCCCACAGCGCCTAGCAGAATGGCAGCATGTGGGGACTGAAGTCATCATTTTCCAGAGAGCCATAAATAGAAACGTGGATTTCCCCTAGGGGCCGTGCCCTTACACAAGCAGGCGATCAAGTAACAAGAGGGTGTTTTAAGAACAAGGCACGTTTGTCCATCTTGAAGCTTAAAAGTTGACTCAAAAAGTGGAGGGGGCCCTGAGATTGGCGTGCACCCCCGGGGTGGATGCTCCATGCTCCATCCCGTCACTCAGAGCCCACGAAGGGCCAGGCAGCCTTCATCAGCCAGGGATGGCGATGACCGCTCCCCCAGGCCAGCATTCAAGGCATTTTTTCCAACTTCTTAGGTATGATCCAGGCCCTCGGGGGCTTCTTCACGTACTTCGTGATTCTGGCCGAGAATGGTTTCCTCCCCTTCCACCTGTTGGGCATCCGAGTGGACTGGGATGACCGCTGGATCAACGACGTGGAAGACAGCTATGGGCAGCAGTGGGTGAGTGAGCCCCTGACAGCTGCAGCCACCCTGCCGCCAGCCGTGCGGGCGAGGAGCCGGGGCTCAGCTGGGTCTGCCTTCTGCATTCCAGACCTACGAGCAGAGGAAGATCGTGGAGTTCACCTGCCACACGGCCTTCTTCGTCAGCATCGTGGTGGTGCAGTGGGCTGACCTGGTCATCTGCAAGACCAGGAGGAATTCCGTCTTCCAGCAGGGCATGAAGTGAGTGGTGAAGCACAGGCCGGGGCCCTGGCTCAGAGCAGGGATTGGACAACTGAAACCCCTGGCAGAAGGCCCGGCGTCGGGCACGTGGGCACAAGTTCTGGATCCTTATAGTTTTGGGTGTTTTGTTTTGTTTTGTGTCTTTTTTGGAGCAAGTCGTTGTTTTTCATCTGACCTCTGAGTGCCTAAGTACAACTGAGAAAGATGTTGATCTGCCATTTAACAGAGCATTAGAAAATGTTCTAATTTTTTTTTCCTCTTTAGGAACAAGATCTTGATATTTGGCCTCTTTGAAGAGACAGCCCTGGCTGCCTTCCTCTCCTACTGCCCTGGAATGGGTGTTGCCCTTAGGATGTATCCCCTCAAGTAAGTGGGCCTCTCCACCACGTGCACTCTTGGCCAGTCGTCCCAGCATTTTGAGTGACGTGGACGAGAATGCTTGTGACCTGGGAAGTAAGGAGTGTGTGATATGTGAGTCCATTGGGTCAGCAAAGGCAGATGTGTGTGCCGGTAGCACAGGCTGAGGTCAGGCAGGCTCCAGGGCCTCAGAGGTACACGACAGTGAACCGCACTGAGCACTCTGCCCTGGCCGGCCAAGAGCCCGGGCCCACATCCTGATCGGCTCTCACTGTGTGTCCTACCGCAAGCCTGCCTCCTCTCTGGAGAGGTCTGCGGTCCCTGTGGCTTTATCATCCATCATCGGAGGAAGCAAGCCACCAGTCTTCCCCTCAACACAGCCAGTGACCGCACTCCTGACAGACCTGAATGCCCACATGGGCAGCTTTGTGAGACCCTGGCTATGATTTGTAGTAAGTGGTCGAGGAGAGGCAGCTGCCACGTGGGACCCCTGCGAGAAAGCTTTTGGTTTGAAGCACCCCCTTGAATTCCCACTGCCCCCCATCCTCGCTCAAACCCAGCTGGCCTGTTGCCAGCACCTGCTTCCATTGAAGCCATCCCCAGGGCAGTCAGACCTGCAGCCTCATTCACTCGGTGCCGTGTGTGCACTGTCTGCGGTGCAGGTGAGATGCATCCAGTGTCGGTCTCCTGACTGTCCCAAGTTGTCAATCTTGCACCATCCAAGCCTGTGTTAGGTGAACCCCAATTCTCCTCTCCCCTATCCATGTATTTGGTAAGAAGTGTTCCCTTCCCAGCAGTGCCCCTGCTGTCGCCTCCCACCCCATCAATCCCAATAGTTCTTGAGGGCAGATGGCCTAGGAGCTTGTCTCCATGTGCCCATGCCCTCCTGACCTTGGGCAGGTCTCTCTTTTGGTGTTTGCTGTCTGTCATCCCTGTTTCCCACGAGGCCGTAATATTTAAGGCAGGGCCACAGCGTCCTTTTTGCCTTTGTTCACCCCTCACATTGCATGGAGCAGGTGTTAGGCAAAGTCATGTCCAAGTTCATGAGGCAGCTGGGAGAGGTCAGGGAGCCTTCTAAAAGGCAAGAATAGAAAATCATGCTGAAAGCGTAGTGCACTGGGACGTGTCCATCTTTCAGGGTCCTTCAGTCTTTCTCTGCTGGGTTCTGCCCAGTTCTGGAAGGTGGTTTGGTTCCATGGTGGCTAAGTGAGTGATGTTGTGGAGGACACACAGGAAGAGGACGGGAGGCTATCAGAGACAGCCGTGCTCACTGCTTCCTGTGGGGATCTGAGTCCCTGCCGTGGAGCTGCCCGGGACCTGTTTCTAGGCTGGGGTTGGTGGGGTGGCCTCCAGGCCCCATGAAAGCCTTTGTGATCTGTTAGGACTCAGCTTTTTCTGGTCTCCAGGTCTGAGATCCAGAACACAGCTGGTTGTTCGAGATGCCACTGTCAGAGACCAGTTAGGGGACACATACATTCATTTTGACCCAGCGTGGCAGTTCTTTATCTTGCAACGCCAGGACACTAGACAGACGCGGTCAGAAGCGTCTCAAACACTTGAAAATGTCCAGTTGCTCTGGGATTGCCAATAGAAAGTGACTGCTGCCCCTGCCGTAAACCGACTCTTAGGCAAACCAAACTGAGGTCGGCCAGGACTTGCTTGATGGAGCCCGAGGGCCGAGGGCCAGCTCTGGGCCCTGGGGCAGCGGCAGAGGCCTGGCTGGAGGCAGTCTCTCGTTCTGTCGGTGACTCAGCCATCAGCCCAGGCTGTCCAGGGACGCCCTCCTTGTCGCTATGGTGATGTGCAGTTTCCCTGTCTTCCTTTGGGTTGTGGCTGTGTGGGTACAGCTCAGTGCTGGGTTCTGTTTGCAGGCCTACCTGGTGGTTCTGTGCCTTCCCCTACTCTCTCCTCATCTTCGTGTATGATGAGATCAGGAAGCTCATCATCAGGCGGCGCCCTGGAGGTAAGGCGGGCGGTGGGTGGGGGGTGGGAGGGCTGTGGCTCTGCAGGGTGGGGGCCTTTGGCGCTCAGTTGGGTTGGCTGAGACCACCGGCACAGCTTCAGCCTCGGGCTGTGATTCCGACACGGGTGGTCCCCGCCACTCTGCTGGAGCGGAGCGAGGGGGACCCTGGGGTGACCGGTTCTGTGTGCTTGCTTCCCGCAGGCTGGGTGGAGAAGGAAACCTACTACTAGTGCCCCCATCCCGCACCCTCTGCATCCGTCCCCCGCCCCCTTTGTGTACTCCAGCCTTGGGATTCGGAACTCCGCCCGGGTAGGAAAGCACCGGAGCATGTGGGGAGACGTCCTGGAATGAAGCATGTCGCTCTGGGGGGAGGGGGGAGGGCTGCCTGACAAACACCGTGTAGGGAATGACGACAGCGTGGAAGGTTTTTATGTGCCTTTTTGTTTTTGTAAAAAAGGAGAACCTGGAGAGACTGAGAGAATACATTTTATATCTGGATTTTTACAAATAAAGATGGCTATTATAACGGAGCTCGTCGTGTGTCCTCATCGCTTTGGTGCCGGTGTCTGTCTGTGTGGTTCCCAGCACAGTCCCCAGGTGGCCACTCAGTGGCATCACCTGGGAGCTTGTTAGGAAGCCAAGCCCGAGCCGCTGAGGCAGAGACCGAGAGCCCTGGGGCCTGACACACTCTGCCCGTGACCTTCATTCACATTCAAGTTTGAGAACCACTGCTTAACAGGAAACTTTTTTTAATTCATTAATTTATTTGAAAGGTAGACTTGCAGAGAGAAAGGGGGAAAGATCTTCCATCCACTGGTTCACTCTCCAAATGGCTATAACAGCCAGATCTGATCCGGTCCAAACACAGGAGCCAGGGGCTTCATCCAGGTCTCCCACCCATGTACAGGAGCCCAAGGTCTTGGGCCATGCTCTACAGCTTTCCCAGGTGCATTAGAAGGGAGCTGGTTCGGAAGTGGAAGAGCTGGGACTTGAACTAGTGCCCATGTGGGATGCCAGCATCCCAGGGAATGGCTTTACCCACTATACCACAATGCTGACCCCATGCCCTGATTCTTTATTCGGAGTGGATGGGTTTACCCTCTCAAGTGTAACTCTTATCTGGCTTTTGAGGCAGTTCTTCCATCTTCTGGTTCACTCCCCAAATGCCTGCAATAACTAGGGCTGGGCCAGACTGAAGCCAGGAGCCCAGAACTCAGTGTGGGTTTCCCCTGTGGGTGTCAGGACTCCATGTGTTTTGAGCTGCCTCCAGAGGTACACGTTTAGTAGGAAGCTGGAAGTGGAGCTGGGGCTCAAACCCAGACACTCCTACGGTGAGGTGTGGCCTCTCAAGCCGCACCCCACCCTGCAGCAGATGCCCGCCCCGCAAGGCTCTCAGAGCCCATAGTATGACCGCTGTCACTGAGGTACTCACTGGGTATCCTGGCCATGCTGTGTTCTCTCCAGAGATCAGCACCCCGGCCTTAACTGTGTAGAGCAGCAGTCTACGCACACAGTGTGGGGCATGTGTGCCCACTGACCAGCGGTTCCCTCCATACAACTCGTCCCGTGTTGGTCAGGGTCAGGTCTGAGACGGTCTGGCAGAAGGCTCCCCTCGGTCCCAGCCACTCACTGTTGCCGAGTGCTGTTAGCTGTGCAGTCGCCGAAGCTATGGAGGTTTTCACCCCTAAGCATGAAGAACAAGGAGCCTTCACCTCTGGCACCAAACCAATCTGCCAGGTGAGCTGGTGCTACTATCCGGAAAGCTCAGTTCGTCCCACGTCTCCAAGTGCGGCTCCTGTCCATGCTATGCGGGGAGCCAGGGTGATTCCCTAGGGACTGGGGCTGGGCATTGCTCCCCACACCCCTGGCCAGCCACAGGACCTGGTAGAAGCAGGGCAGCCTGGGACTTCATCTTAGCCCTGCTGCTTGGGGGCAGTTTCTTCAGGTTACGCCCTGCTGCTTGGGGGGCAGTTTCTTCTGGTGTAACCTGTGCCACTGTTCAGGCCAACGTAAGGAAACTAGAATGAAACAGAGAATCGAGAGGTCTTAGGGTAGGAGTACCACAGAGGGCGTCCTGCACATCCCTAACTCGGGAGTACGGCCACTACTGTGGGCTTGAACCTGCACGCACCTTCCTGGGCTTGCCGCCACCTCCTCAACTGCACCCCTGCTGCCCAGAGAGACGACCAGTGAGATTATTGGAACGAAGGTCATGGCTAAAAAGTATCTGAAAGCTTGAAGCTTAGGCCCTGAAGAGGAACCCAAGGGGCTTCCAAGCCAGGACCTCTCAACTGCTCTGGGAAGTCCCCCAGAGAGATGGGGGGATTCCCCCAGGGTGATTCTGCCTTTTTCTGTTGAACAGTGCTCTGAGTTAAAGCTGTACAGTCAATCTTTTGGTCCAGAAAATGTAGATAAGTGGCCTGCATTCAGGGATGAAGGTGGTCCGGGAGCCAGACCTCCTGATGGGCTGGAGCCGTCTCAAAGGCAGAGCGAGGGCTGGGCTCTCATTTCCACCTCTGCACTGAGCCCCTACAGGACCCCGCACCTGCGTTCCCTGCGGACCAGTGCCTCTGAGCCCATCTAATGCCCGGCCAGGGCTTCTGGCCCCCTGCTGCCGTGGGCACTCCAACATAGGAGAGCATTTTTTAAAAAGGCTGTGAACTAGCAGATCAAAGATCTCTCTGCCTCAGGTTTTCTGCCTTTAAAATGAAATGAAAAAATATTCTTGTTTAAAAAAAAAAATACGGATCTTGGGGCTGGTGCTGTGGCTTAGACGGTTAAGTTTCTGCCTGTAGTGTCAGCATCCTATATGGGCACTGGTATGGAGTCCAGGCTGCTCCACTTCCAATCCAGCTCCCTGTTTGTGTGCCTGGGAAAGCAGCGCAAGATGTGCAAGATGGCCCAAGTCCCTGGGCCCCTGCACTGCATGGGAGACCTGGAGGAAGCTCCTGGCTCCTGGCTTTGGCGTGGCCCAGCCCCAGCCGTGCAGCCATATGGGGAGTGAACCAGCGGATGGAAGATTGTCCTTTTGTCTCTATCTCTGCCTTTCAAATAAATCTTAAGAAAAACAGTTTTTAAAAAGCTGTAGGGAAATGGAATAAAAGATCCTTTTGGTACAAAAGTTTTGAAGTCCGTAGTTTTCATAGTCGTCATTTTCCGCGTACTTTCTGAGCCCCTGACTTCCTGCTGCTCCTTCCTCTGGGGACGGAAGTGTGTCTCCATCCTAACACACAAGGCCCCACCCCTTCCTGTGTTCCTGCCTGCACCGGCTCTCAGCAGGAGTCAACTGCCACTTCTCCCTCAGCTTGTCACCTCCATCTGGTTAACACCAGTCCTCCTAGATTGTCTGGTTGAGGTCACCACGGACCGTTGGTCCAGTGCACACTCAGTCCTTCCCTGGTCCTGTGGTCCCTGTGCCGTCCACCACCGTCTTCTGGAACCAGCTCACTGTCATTGTCTCCGCCCAGCGCTAGGCTCTCAGCCCCTTCATTGCTCCGTCCTCCAGGAGGGCCTCGTCCCTTCTCTCTCCCTGCTTCTTACTCTTCCCAGGATGATTTCCAGCTCTGACCTGGGCCTCTCCCCCGAGCCCTGGGCCCAGAAATCCAGCGGTGCCATGGTATCTGCAGCGAGCATGGTGCACCTGCGTCTCCCCATGACAGACTAGCTGGAGGTCCTATGAAATGAACAGCTCTAGGCGGAGAGAACATCCGCTGCTCACGCTGGTGCCCAAACCCCAAACCGGAATTTACCAAGATCTCTCTCTTGCTGTGACCCCAGCCAGCACCCAGTCACCGATCACCCTGAGTTCCAACGTGGTGGCTGGGAGCGTGGGCTTCGTGTCTCGGAACAGCCTTGTGGAATGACCGAGGGCACACGGCTTCTTTGTGCTCCATGGACCCTAGAATAAGGCTGATGTTTGGGACAGGGATTATACAGAAAGGGACTCCCACCGTGGCTGGGGCTCAAGAAACCGCTTTCTCTGCTCCACATCTGGGCAGCTGCAAGAGCCCCGGCTGGGTCTCCTCACTTCCTGCCTTCATCCAACCCCATGGTTTCTATAGGGTTGTGTCTAACCAGGCGGCGTCGACATCAGCTGGGAACTTGTTAGACATGCAAATTCTGGCACAAGCCTAGGGAATCAGAAATTCTGGAAGCAGGGGACAGCAGCCTGTTCCAGTAAGTTTTCCTGATTATTCACACACACGCCAAAATCTAGGAACCAATGCTCTAATCCACCTTCCAAGCACCAGGCGGCTGCTGTATTCACCCTGGACCCCAGCAGATAAACCCAACTCTGCTCAGCCGTTCCAACACCGTGCGGCTCCCCGATGTGCCACACACCCCTTCCTCGGCCATTCTGCAGTCCCCTGCAACCCACCACCTCCCCTCACCCTTCCTGCACCTGGCTAATCAACCCACCTTTCTGGGTACTGCTCGGGTCTTTTTGGGAAATACTCTGGGGCCTCATTTCTGCAAATGCTGTTTTCGCGCACTTCCACCTCTGGTTTTTCGCGAGTTCTCTGATCGCCCATAAGCGCCATGATGATGCAGACCAGGCTGTACCTGCCGCAGCATCTAGCACAACCAATGATGCATGAAGGATGAACACTCCTTATCATACTGTTTTATTTTTCTGTTGCACAAGCAGCCACACTTTTAACATCTCACTCTCACTCTGAGTCTGTTTCTTGGCTCAGAGCTTTCATTTCACCCAAGGGGCCTCCATGCCCAGACTTGCCACCAACCTGGGACACAGGGCCTCTCCACTCAAGACTTTCAAGTTTGAGAGTGTAAGTATGAGTCGTGCATGAAACTGGCATCCTACAGGGCTGAGTGGGGGAGCGCAGCGAGCACAGGCATTGGGTCAGGAAGATGAGGAGGGGCTGGCGCTGTGGCGTAGTGGGTTAAGCTGCTGCTTGCAGTGTCAGCATCCCATATGGGTGCCAGTTTGAGTCCCAGCTGCTCCACTTCTGATCCAGCTCCCTGCTAATGAGCCTGGGAAAGCAGCAGCAGATGGCCCGAGTCCCTGGGTCCCTGCACTCACATGGGAGACCTGGAAGAAGATCCTGGCTCCTGGCTTCCATCTGGCCCAGCTCTGGCTCTACAAGAGAGAGACACTGAGAGGGCCCTCGGCCCCTGGACCTGCCTGGGACCCACAGCTTTTTCAGTTCCCACCCTGAGTGTCAAAGGCCTCACAAGGAGCCCTAATGTGGACTCTCCCATTAGACAGTTGATGAGTGCTCTATACTTCATAGGGCTCTTAATTCTACCGATTATGTTGTTCAACAATTCCATGACGATTAGGTTGGTATCCATGTTTTGTTCCCTGCTGTCTGGTAGCTCTGTGAGGTCAGGGAACTCCTCTGTCCTCTCCTGCTTAATCCCTAGTGCTCTGCTCAGAGCTGCACACACATAGAGAGACCTGAGCACCTGGCTCAGAGACCCACGCTCCCCACCGAAAGAGGAGGGCAGAGGCACGTGATGCCACGGAGTCTGTAGGAGAAGGCAGGGCTCGGCGGCTGGGTCTCAG